AACTCGGTCTAATCTTCATACTAAAACTGATCCTAAAACACTTTCTACACTTCGTCCTGAAACAATTGCTATAGTGCCAGAAAGTGTTTTAGGATCAGTTTTAGGACAAAGATTAGATTGAGTTTTAGGATCAATTCTAGGACCAAAGGTAGAAAGTGTTATAGGAGCAGTTTCAGGACGAAATATAAAAAGTGTTTTAGGATCAGTTTTAGGACGAAGATTAGACCAACCATTAGGACCAATTCTAGGACCAAAGATAGAAAGAGATATAGGATCAGTTTTAGGACGAATGTAAAAAGTGTCATAGGTCGAATTTAATTACTAAAGGTAGAAAGTGTTTTAGGATCAGTTTTAGGACGAATGTAAAATGTGTCATAGGTCGAATTTAAGTACTAAATGTAGAAAGTGTTTTAGGATCAGTTTTAGGACGAAGATGAGACTGAGTTTTAGGATCAATTCTAGGACCAAAGGTAGAAAGAGTTATAGGAGCAGTTTAAGGACGAAATATAAAAAGTGTTTTAGGATCAGCTTTAGGACGAAGATTAGACCAACAATTGGGACCAATTCTAGGACCAAAGATAGAAAGTGATATAGGATCAGTTTTAGGACGAATGTAAAAATTGTCATAGGTCGAATTTAATTACTAAAGGTAGAAAGTGTTTTAGGATCAGTTTTAGGATGAATGTAAAAATTGTCATAGGTCGAATTTAAGTACTAAAGGTAGAAAGTGTTTTAGGATCAGTTTTAGGACGAAGATTAGACTGAGTTTTAGGATCAATTCTAGGACCAAAGGTAGAAAGTGATATAGGATCAGTTTTAGGACGTATGTAAAAAGTGTCATAGGTCGAATTTAAGTACTAAAGGTAGAAAGTGTTTTAGGATCAGTTTTAAGAGGAATGTAAAAAGGGTCATAGGTCGAATTTAGGTACTAAAGGTAGAAAGTGTTTTAGGATCAGTTTTAGGACGAAGATGAGACTGAGTTTTAGGATCAATTCTAGGACCAAAGGTAGAAAGAGTTATAGGAGCAGTTTCAGGACGAAATATAAAAAGTGTTTTAGGATTAGCTTTAGGACGAAGATTAGACCAACAATTAGGACCAATTCTAGGACTAAAGATAGAAATTGATATAGGATCAGTTTTAGGACGAATGTAAAAAGTGTCATAGGTCGAATTTAATTACTAAAGGTAGAAAGTGTTTTAGGATCAGTTTTAGGACGAATGTAAAATGTGTCATAGGTCGAATTTAAGTACTAAAGGTAGAAAGTGTTTTAGGATCAGTTTTAGGATGAATGTAAAAAGTGTCATAGGTCGAATTTGAGAACTAAAGGTAGAAAGTGTTTTAGGATCAGTTTTAGGACGAAGATGAGACTGAGTTTTAGGATAAATTCTAGGACCAAAGGTAGAAAGTGTTATCGGAGCAGTTTCAGGACGAAATATAAAAAGTGTTTCAGGATCAGCTTTAGGACGAAGATTAGACTAATTATTTACACAAATTCTAGGTTCAAAGATAGAAAGTGATATAGGATCAGTTTTAGGACGAATGTAAAAAGTGTCATAGGTCGAATTTAAGTACTAAATGTAGAAAGTGTTTTAGGATCAGTTTTAGGACGAAGATGAGACTGAGTTTTAGGATCAATTCTAGGACCAAAGGTAGAAAGTGTTATCGGAGCAGTTTCAGGACGAAATATAAAAAGTGTTTTAGGATCAGCTTTAGGATGAATGTAAAAAGTGTCATAGGTCGAATTTGAGAACTAAAGGTAGAAAGTGTTTTAGGATCAGTTTTAGGACGAAGATGAGACTGAGTTTTAGGATAAATTCTAGGACCAAAGGTAGAAAGTGTTATCGGAGCAGTTTCAGGACGAAATATAAAAAGTGTTTCAGGATCAGCTTTAGGACGAAGATTAGACTAATTATTTACACAAATTCTAGGTTCAAAGATAGAAAGTGATATAGGATCAGTTTTAGGACGAATGTAAAAAGTGTCATAGGTCGAATTTAAGTACTAAATGTAGAAAGTGTTTTAGGATCAGTTTTAGGACGAAGATGAGACTGAGTTTTAGGATCAATTCTAGGACCAAAGGTAGAAAGTGTTATCGGAGCAGTTTCAGGACGAAATATAAAAAGTGTTTTAGGATCAGCTTTAGGACGAAGATTAGTCTAATTATTTAGACGAATTCTAGGTTCAAAGATAGAAAGTGATATAGGATCAGTTTTAGGACGAATGTAAAAAGTGTCATTGGTCGAATTTAAGTACTAAAGGTAGAAAGTGTTTTAGGATCAGTTTTAGGATGAATGTAAAAAGTGTCATAGGTCGAATTTAAGTACTAAAGGTAGAAAGTGTTTTAGGATCAGTTTTAGGATGAATGTAAAAAGTGTCATAGGTCGAATTTAACCCCTGGACAGTCCAGGGCCCATATGTGGCCAGAAAAAGTCGTGCCACCTTTGTGCAAGTGGCCATATATGGCCACCGCAAAAAATATAATACTAAATTTAATTTGATTCGCTTGAAATTTGTTACCTGGGGGTTTTTGGGGTCGCTGAATCCAATTTTAAAGTCAGATTTCAAAAAAACAAAATGGCGGACCCAAAATGGCGACCATGAAAACTTAAAATTTATCAGATTTACATGAAACTCGTTGCTCAGGGGTTTTCGGGGTCGCTAAATTTGAATCTGAGGTCGGTTTTTCAAAATTCAAAATGGCGGATCCAATTTGGCAACCCAATATGGCGGATAATTTAAAAATTAATGCGTTTTGACCACAAATTGTTACTCGGGGGTTTTCGTAGTCGCTGAATTCGAATTTGAGGTCAGTTTTTCAAAATTCAAAATGGCGGATCCATTATGGTGGACAAATTTTTAAAAAATCAATCCGATTTGTCTGAAATTTGTTACTCGGGGGTTTTTGGGATCGCTGAATTCGAATTTGAGGTCGGTTTTTTGAAATTCATAATGGCGGATCCAATATTGCGGACAAATTTTAAAAAAATCAATCCGATCCGCCATTTTGAATTTTGAAAAACTGACCTCAAATTCGAATTCAGCGACAACAAAAACCTTAAATATGATGAAGTCATATTTTTTTGGAAACTTTTTTTAGGACCGTTTTAGGCCTACCTGCGATTTTTAACTGGACTGCGAAGGGGTTAAGTACTAAAGGTAGAAAGTGTTTTAGGATCAGTTTTAGGACGAAGATGAGACTGAGTTTTAGGATCAATTCTAGGACCAAAGGTAGAAAGTGTTATCGGAGCAGTTTCAGGGCGAAATATAAAAAGTGTTTTAGGATCAGCTTTAGGACGAAGATTAGACTAATTATTTACACAAATTCTTGGTTCAAAGATAGAAAGTGATATAGGATCAGTTTTAGGACGAATGTAAAAAGTGTCATAGGTTGAAGTTAAGTACTAAAGGTAGAAAGTGTTTTAGGATCAGTTTTAGGACGAAGATGAGACTGAGTTTTAAGATCAATTCTAGGACCAAAGGTAGAAAGTGTTATGGGAGCAGTTTCAGGAAGAAATATAAAAATTGTTTTAGGATCAGCTTTAGGACGAAGATTAGACCAACAATTAGGACCAATTCTAGGACTAAAGATAGAAATTGATATAGGATCAGTTTTAAGACGAATGTAAAAAGTGTCATAGGTCGAATTTAATTACTAAAGGTAGAAAGTGTTTTAGGATCAGTTTTAGGACGAATGTAAAAAGTGTCATAGGTCGAATTTAAGTACTAAAGGTAGAAAGTGTTTTAGGATCAGTTTTAGGATGAATGTAAAAAGTGTCATAAGTCGAATTTGAGTACTAAAGGTAGAAAGTGTTTTAGGATCAGTTTTAGGACGAAGATAGTCTAATCTTCGTCCTAAAGCTGATCCTAAAACCCTTTTTAGATTTCGTCCTGAAACTGCTCCTATATCACTTTCTACCTTTGGTCCTAGAATTGATCCTAAAACTCAGTCTCATCTTCGTCCTAAAACTGATCCTAAAACACTTTCTGGCACTATAGCAACCGTTTCAGGACGAAGTGTAGAAAGTGTTTTAGGAGCAGTTTCAAGACGAAATGTAAAAAGTTTTTTAGGATAAGTTTTAGGACGAAGATTAGACCGAGTTCATGATCAATTCTAGGACCAAAGGTAGAAAGTGTTATAGGACTTACCATGACAACTGTTTCCATGGCAACCGTTTCCATGGCAACCGATTCGATGCAAACCATTACCATAGGAACTATTTCCGTAGCAACCATCACCATAGCATAGCAACCATTGTTGTTTTTGGAAATTTTAATTTTTTTGAGAACTATGAGCTATTTTTCCAAACCGAAAAACATTCCACCTCTGTACATCGCCCTCATCACCTGGACCACTTTTCGGCTACGATTTTCCGATCACCCTGTATATGTCTCGAACTCAGATCAAGACACTTTTTTTGTCTGGCTATGTTATTTATAAATAATTTTTTTTTAATTTATGCATTTTTTCAAATTACTTTTTCATTTCATGCCTGTCAGCAAAAATACTATTTCACAAAAAGTTTTAGAGTAAACCTTATTGAATTTTTTTTTAATTATTTTGTATATAAATTATTTTTTTAGGTAAATTTGATTGGTTTTTAATTAATTTAACTTTTCATTTTTCATTTAAATTTTCTTCTTTTAATTTTATATTGCTTCTTTTCACGTTTTTTAACCCTTTTACTGTTACAGAAAAAATTGATACTATAATCTCAAAATGTATAACAAATTCTGGTCGACAAAGTTTTATGAAACTTAGTATATAAAAGTTTTTGGGGTCTCTGAATTTAATTAAATAAACATTTTCGTGATTTTTACTTGATTTTTAATTGTGATATTAGTTAAAAATAATAAATTATTATGTAATTATTTCTTAACCAAATATCGTTGATACCTGAAGTGTGCGAATAATGATATAAAAGAATTCATTTTTTAATTTAGAAAGAAAATTTCATTTATTTTGTGTAAAGATGATTACGACACAACGTCTACATTACAGATTTATAATATAAAATGGGTGAATATACTGCACGACATTATATGGAGATGGTAATGTTGTACGGCGAACACGGGTATAATGCTCACCAAGCAGCTGCCGCATTTAGGCAGAGGCACCCTGCACTTCGACCAAACCATAATACCATTCTCAGAGTCATCCAACGAGGAAATGAGAATGGTAATTTGGTTCCTGATAATAGAAACAGGGCGGGTGCACCTAGGAGGGCGAGAAACCCAGCGAATGAGGAGAGGATTCTCCAATATATCCATCAACACCCGACGCACAGCATAAGGCAAATGGTGCGTGCCCTTCAGCTCAGTTACTGGACTATACAACAGACCTTAAGAGGCGACGGGTAATATTTTCATGTTAAACGTGTTAAACGCTTTCCTTCTTTCTTTTTTCATCCTCTCATACAATCATCTAATTGTGCATTTCTCTTATTCATTACTCATTAATCCATTCATTGTCGCATTCTTTTTTAGGATGCAGTCCCATGACGGCTCGAATACAGAATGCAAAGTTGAAAATCATGAGAGTAAAAAGGATAGCGAGATCTTTTCATCTCTTTTGCACTCATGGTTTTCAGTTTTGCACTCTGCTTTCTCGCCGTCATAGGACTGCACCCTTATCCATCTATCCAGAAAGTAAATTCCGTAATGTTTCCTGTTTTTAATTCCCAAATTCAAAGTGGGATGTAGAAAGTGTAGAGTAGGATGTGAAATATGAGAAATAGATAGTGGCATATGAAAAGTGATACATGGAAAATGGGATGTAAGAATGAGAAGTAGAAAGTAGGAAGTGAAAAGTGTAGAGTAGAAAGTGAAATATGAGAAATAGATAGTGGCATATGAAAAGGGATACGTGGAAAATGGGGTGTAAGAATGGGAAGTAGAAAGAGGGATGTGAAAAGTGTAGAGTAGGATGTGAAATATGAGAAATAGATAGTGGGATATGAAAAATAATTCGTGGAAAATGGGATGTAAGAGTGAGAAGTAGAAAGTGGGATGCGAAAAGTGTAGAGTAGGCTGTAAAATATGAGAAATAGATAGAGTAAAGTGTAAAGTAGGATGTGAAGTAGAGAGTGTCATGTAAAAAGTAGAAACTGGAAAGTAGGTTGGAAAAAGTGGAAATGTTATGGAATTGACTTAATGTCCTTAATTTCCTTTAACATCCTTGGTTCCTTTAACAGTTTACACGCTTACCATTACCGCCAAGTACAAGCCCTCCATGAAGGTGACAACGAGAGGAGAATGGCATTTTGCCGGTGGCTCGTCGCTCAACACGAGCAGGACCCGACATTTAGGGACAGGATCCTCTACACGGATGAGGCGACGTTCCCGAGAAGTGGAACTTTCAATTATCATAATAACCACGAGTGGAGGCACGAAAATCCACATCTCGCGATACGTTGCCGACACCAGAGGAGAATGTCCCTAAATGTTTGGTGTGGTGTTGTAGGAGATCTCCTTGTAAGTATTTTCAGATTTATGCATAAGATTTTAACATAAGGGTTAAAACTTCAACATAACGCTCAAGTTCTTAAGTCTTAGGACTTATGTTTTAAATAGTAAAATTCAAAATTTAAGCATAAGTTTTAAAATTAAAACTGAAATTTTTAGAAAAAATTTTAGACTTAAGCGTAAGATTTTAACATAAATCTTAAAGCTTCAGCATAAAACTTAAGGTGTTAAGTCTTAGGACTTAAGTTTTAAGCATAAATTTTAAAAGTAAAATTTTAAAATTTGTTAAGTTTTTCAGAATAAAGAATAAGAGTTGAACATAATTCTTAAAACTTTAACATAAAGCATAAGTTTTTAAGTCTTAGGACTTATGTTCTAAATCTTAAAACGTAAAATTTAAGCGTAAGTCGTAAAATTAAAGTTTAACTTTTTTTAGATTTATGCATTAGATTTTAAAATAAGACTTAGAACTTCAGCATAAAGTTTAAGTTCTTAAGTCTTAAGACTAAAGTTTTAAATCTTAAAACTGAAGTTTTAAGTATAAGCTTTAAAATTTAAATTAAAAAAAAATTTTTAGACTTAAGCACAAGATTTTAAAAAACCGCTGCTAAGTTAAAGTATGAATTTTTTGTGTTCATAAAATGAACACTTTGCTTCCCCATGGAGATTTTTTGTGATCAATTTATGGTAACTTATTTGGTATGATTATAATTTTAAGAAGGTGTTAAAGTGTATTTTTGGGTATTTGCAGAGGTAGATTTTTAATATCAATAACTTCGTAATATTTCCCAATAAAAGGTTCAATAATAGGTCAATTGATTCGTTTTTAAATATTCTCTAAGTTGTTCATAATTATTTTAAAGATACATAAATATTTTTTTATAAATAAGGCAAAAAAGGCAGGTTTTTCTAAAAATTTTAATTTCTAAATGTTAATAACTCTGGATAAAATAACAGTAGGATATTCGCTAATAGGTCAAAAGATGCGTCTTGATAAACTCTACAAAACTAGGAACAAATATATGTTGGTATCAATAAATTTTTTTTAAGTTATGGGCAAAAACTATTTTCTTTGATTTTTAAAAATTGAATAACTTTCGATAGAATATCAGTAGAATGTTCGCCAATGGCTCAAAAGATGCGTCTGAAGAAATTCTACCAAATTAAAGAAAAATATTAATAGGTGTCCTAACATTTTTTTAAAGTTATGGTCAAAAAACAATTGTTCAAAATTTTTAAAATGCAAAAAAATAATAGTTAAACTTTATTCATATTGATCAAACTACTCTCATTATTTGTCCGCCAGTGAGACCTACAATTTAAAAAACATGCATCCCTTTAGCTCTTATAGTATTCGAGATATTTAAGACAATGTAGTGTATATATACACACACACGGAACGACATTTTTTAAAAATGTCATTTTTGGATTCCTGAGGTCGAAAAACATAAAGATACATAAAATAATCAAGTTCGAAAAATTTTGGTATTACAATGCTTCCTCCATGAGGAAGCAATAAGATTTAAAACTTCAGCATAAAGCTTAAATTCTTAAGTCTTAGAACTTATGTTTTAAATCTTAAAACTCAAGATTTAAGCATAAATTTTTAAATTGAAATTTTTAATTTACAGATTGGTCCTTTCTTTTTTGATGGCCATTTAAATCGTGATATTTATGCCAATTTTATCACCAACGAGTTGCCTAGATTGTTGACAGAGGCTGGACTTACGCAAGAGCAGATTAATAGAATCTATCATCAACAAGATGGTGCTCCACCTCATAGGCCGGAGGAAGTTCTTAACAGAATCCGTGTAATATTTGGTGATCGTATAATCGCTTTGGGTGCTGAGCGAGAGTGGCCTCCGCGGTCCCCAGACTTGAATGTTTTAGATTTTCATGTCTGGGGACAAGTAAAGGATTATGTGTACCGGGTGGAAATTGAGACCATCGAACAATTGCGTAATCGAATTCTCGATGGTTTTGCTACAATCACCCCTGAAATGTTGCGCCATTCAACACAAAGCGTAATCCGACGCGCGATGTGTTGCATTGAGCAAAATGGTGGAAATTTCGAACAGTTTTTATAATTTTAGAGTCACAAGTTTTTCTGAGCGTTATAATTTATAATTTATTTAAAATTTCAATTTAATAGTTTTGAATTTATTGTTAACTGTTTTTTAGGACAAAGAAGATATATATCTGCAATTTGAAAAAAAGAAATCCAGTGCAATAATGTATTTTTTATTTTTCATTAAGGGGAGGCATCACCCCCAATTTTGACCCACTTTAATTTACATTATTAAACGAGGTTCTATTTTTTTCTTGCATCATTTGGGTCTTAAAAACATACAGAATAGTCCAAAAAATGAAATTTTAATTTATGACCATGTTAGAAATTAAAGTCTTAAAAAAATTAATATTTTAAATATCTATCTTTTTTTACAATTTTGACTATTTTTCCACGCTTTTTTTAATGATTCTTAAGAATTTCTCGCATGGATTTTCAAAAATTTTAATTTTTTCAAAAAAAGAGCGAAAAATATAAGTTAAAACACTATTGCACTCTCCGATTAAATATGTATCTTCTTTTACAATTTTAAGTATTTTTCATCGTCAAATTTTTTCCACGCTTTTTTAATGATTTGTCAGAATCTTTCGCATGGATTTTCAAAAATATTAATTTTTTCAAAAAATAAAAATTCTAAAATGGTCAAAAATTTTCTTTTTTTGACCACTTTATATGTTTTTATGACCCAAATGATGCAAGAAAAAAAATATAACCTCATTTAATAATTTAAATTTAAGTGGGTCAAAATTGGGGGTGGTGCCTCCCCTTAAATCATAAAATTAAATTTTGAATTGGAAATACATTATACTTAAAATTTGTCCTAAAAATAAGTGAAATATATCAATATCGAAATATGAATTTTCGATTTGGATATTTAGTTTTTCTTTTTTTGACTTTTATGTGTAGTAAAGCAAACTTATTCACTTATCCTTCTCACTCTTTTATCTCGATGAACACGCCACCAACTGGGATTGAAGTGCAACTAAAAATTGTAGACACATAATCTTTGCAGATTTTTACCTCCTCTCCGCGGGGTCCCACACGTCCCACTTGTTACAGGGCCGACTTCATTCATTGTGAAGTTGTAGATTGTATTACTCTCTCTGTATAGTCTTCAAATTTGAAGTAGTGACTTACTTTTTCCTTTTGAATTAGTTAAATTTTACTATAATTTGATTTTTTCTACTATTAATTTGTTAAATTTTACTAATTTGATTTTTGTTCACTATTAATTAGGTAAATTTTACTGGATCAGAAGAAGGTAGCCTTCAAAGGCGAAAAAAATAGAAATTTAGGAAAAAAAGTATTATAGTTAGTATGGAATGACCCCAAAAAAATCCAAAAAACGGTTATAAATTTTGAAGACATTAACGGATCGTTAGGAAACTTGGTAATTATGTTATTTGCGATGAATAACAGTAATTCAAGGTGGAAAAATACAATTTTAAGAAAAAAGTTTTTAATTATTACGGAATGACCCAAAAAAAATCCAAAAAACCGTTATAACTTCTAGAATAATTAACAGATTATTATGAAACTTCGTAATTATGTTCTTTGCTTTGAATGAAACCATTAAATGTCAGAAAACATACAAATTTAGGGAAATAGTGTACAATTATTATGGAATGCCACCTAAAAAAATTCAAAAAACAGTTATAACTTCTGAAAAAATTAACGGATCGTTATATAACTTGGTACTTATGTTATTCGCGATGAATGACACTATTTAAAGGTGTAAAAATACAAAATTTA